CACGTTAACAGAAAAGGCAGCTCGGTAGCTTTAGGTCAAATCAGAGTACACAATGATGTCCACCTATGATTGTCCGGAAATCTTTGTCGACATATCGACGGTCCCATTGATCATGCCGCTTGCGCCAATTACTCGTCCATGGATACATTGTGTAGAAAATCAGTTCATACAAAAACATCTATAAAGATTAAATTATATATATGTCAATAGCTTAATATATTTTACGTGTAAAGCGTCCAAAATCGTTATTTTCTGTGAAAAGATTTTCGACGAACTTGATTGATAGGAAAAAATTTTTTGAAGCATATTTTTGAAAAATTTGGCAAATAATGTAAAAGAAAAAAAGGATTCTACTTTTCGTTTAATCATTGAAAAAAATGATCCTGTAATTACAAAGCAACGGTAAACTTGTTTCAGTAGCGATAGAGTTTGTCCGTCCAAAATTGTGTCAAGGAATAAAATAATTTAAAGAATACAAAATATATTTATATATCGACATTTCGTGTATATTTACAAATATTTTCTGAAATATAATGGAAACACGTACTCCCTTTTCGCTTCGGAAATAATTGCGCGCGTGTATGCCTTCCGATGCGTGACAAATGTGGATACATAGTGGCATTCGGAAGTGCATTCCCCTCTGTGCGGGGATCGCGTTCCCTGTATATGCACGCGCGAATCGTTTCCGTATACTAATACCTCTACAAATCGATCGTAGCTCCGTCACCTTGATAACCTCTTTCTTTTTTCTTGCTCGCTCCCCCTCGATAGCGTATACGCGCCGAGGGAGCGTCTGGCCAGACGGAATTTCTATGGGGTACCAGTGGGACACCCCATGGCAGTTCCGTCCTCTAATGTGGAAGTAGCTCGTGCTACCTGAGCAGCTGCGCGTGTGTGCGCGAAGGGAACTCCCTTCGGGAGTTTTATTTTATTTTGCCTTACCTTATGGGATGTCGAAAAGAGCGAGTGAGAAAGAAAGAAGCAAAGAGTAAGGGGAAGGCCCTATAGATAGACGCCGCCAGGTACCCCGTGAACCAACGTCACGCTTGAGAGGGGGGCCATCTGCCCCCTAACGAGTATGTGACGTCAGGTGTGACGACGTATGCCGAGCCAAGGAGTCCGTCTCTTATCCATCATGCCTCTTTTTTTTCTCTTTACTGAACACGCATCAAAATGTTCGAATTGAAATCGAAAATAGTTTCTTTACAACGTACGATTCTATATCTGTAATATCCTCCAGATAATAAACTAAACTGATATTATTTTGACGAAAAATGATACAACGGAGGATAAATGACGTTAACTTGTTACACGGTAAAAAACATTTTGTATCTGTGTTGAAAATGGTCCACTCAAATCCTTGTTAAAATTTTGTGTTAAATTTCTGACACGTTTGAATCTTGATTTAACATAATGTTTATGTTAATTAATATTGTTAATATTTTTAAATAACATAAAGTTTAAATATTTTGTGTTAAATTGATATTCAATATTTCTTAGTGAAAGTAATACAATTTATGAATAAGTGAATAAATAACATAAAAATAATATGCTTTAAAACGTAAATTCTAAGATAAATGAATAAGGATTGAAAAACATATCATCACAAATATTAATTTTTATTGAAAAAATATGTTTTCACAGTTTGCTTACAAATTATTATATTTCTGTATTATCCTTTTTTACCTAATATTTGTGTTACTTTCTAATATATTCATTTTGTGTCAAATTAATATAAAAATT